CAGGTTACTCAGACCTTCGTAATGCAAACCTAATGACATCGATTGCTTGGAGAATATAGTATGAATTATTTACATTGGGTAAGTCGGAAGTACCATTCTTATTTGAATCTATCCAAAAATTGAAATCTTTGAACCTCATTTTGCTTCTGCGATGTGCAATATAGTTACATACCGGCCCCGGGAAACGTACCAATCCCAGGAAGCATATCGACTCTGGTAACTTACCGCTCTCCGGAAACTTATCGACTCTGGTAACTTACCGCTCTCCGGAAACTTATCGACTCTAATAACTTATCGATTCTCAAATACTTATCGACCTCAAGAAATTTAACTTATCCACCATTGATCAGTTGTTATTGTGTTATCCATTCTTACCGACAAAGACTCAGAAGTTTTAACATTGAACGGCAGTGTCGCTCTCTCATGTTGTCTTTTCTTGAGCTTCCTCATATGTTACTGTGTGAGAGTGTAGCTGCATCGCGAATATCGTGAAAAATAGAAAACTGTCTATAAACTATACACGTGTAATACGGCAGTATTTTAACAAAAGCAAACCTCTTAACACATTGACAGCCGGCCCCGCGAAAACGCGGGTTTCTGAGTCTGTCGCTTGAGCGCCGGCCCCGCGAAAGCGCGGATTTCTGAGTCTGTCGCTTGAGTAGCTGCGACAGTAAAAAGAAGCGAGAGTAACTTTATGTATGCTGAATGCTTAGTACCTTTACATCTTGGACAATGTTTTGAGAAATACTACACTTGCCTTAAATATTAAAACTTTTGTTTTCTGTTTACGTTGTATACACGGTGACCCATTTTAATCGACAAACGGAGATATCTCCGAAACTACGCAACCTACGAAAAAAATGTTCGGATAAAAGTTGTCGAGGACAGTGGGGGTCATCTACCTGTACTAATGACCTTGACTTGAGGCCAGTTTTCAAGGTCATTTCAAGGTCAAGGTCACTTTTTTAAATGGAACCCTNATGGAACCCCCTATTTTTAATACCGGATTCAGAAAGAGCGGGAAATTTTACATCCAGATATGTATCAAAATATAAGGTTAACGTGACTTCCATAGGTCAAATGAAGGTCAAGAAACCACCTCTACCAAATCCCAAGCAGGCTAAACCACCTAACTCTGGGAACAGCGAGTGTAATCGCTTATTTTTCTTGAAATGATTTGATGAATTAATAGTTTTAAATGTTGCCCCGTACAGTTTAATTACAAATTTTTTGAACGAATTAAACTCTCTTTAAAGCCACTTTCTCAGTATGGCAGGCTACCTTGCAAATAAAATTAGTGATATGATAGTATTTTGCTATAACAACTACCTTGCTACATGAAGGCTTTTACTAAATGTATTCCAGATGAAAGACATCCTAACAACTGAGCAGTTCGAAACCTACCTTAATAAGCTCGTGATAGAAATCTGGTTCGACAACGTCGACATCATGAATACAACGAAGATAATGCACGAGCTTGTGAGTCAGTCTACTTGTGGATTGGAATTCCATTTATTTTAAAGAAAAATAAGCGATTACACTCGCTGTTCCCAGAGTTAGGTGGTTTAGCCTGCTTGGGATTTGGTAGAGGTGGTTTCTTGACCTTCATTTGACCTATGGAAGTCACGTTAACCTTATATTTTGATACATATCTGGATGTAAAATTTCCCGCTCTTTCTGAATCCGGTATTAAAAATAGGGGGTTCCATGTAAAAAAGTGACCTTGACCTTGAAATTACCTTGAAAACTGACCTCAAGGTCAAGGTCATTAGCACAAGTAGATGACCCTCACTGTCCTCGACAACTTTTATCCGAACATTTTTTTCGTAGGTTGCGTAGTTTCGAAGATATCTCCGTTTGTCGATTAAAATGGGTCACCGTGTATATTATACGTATACATATATATCACACGTATTGAGTATCAAAGGTTGGCAGTTTTTGAACCACGGATACGTTGCAAATGTTAAAATTATTAAATAGGAAATAATTGAACTTTTTTTATTTAATATTTAATATTTTAATTTATATCTGCAACTTTATGTTTTATTAATAACTGTTGTATAACAAATTTTATAAATGATAAATTTTTAATTATAATTTTAATTATAATTTAAATCGGTGCAACGTATGCGGGATAAAAAAATATATATCGGTTTTGAAATATTGACATGTTGCGCTTGTCGGACTCGCTTATTGTCATTAACAGCTGTTACGAAATAAGCTGCATTTTGCTTGTGATTCTACTAAAGTGACGAATCCTCAATCAGTTAATTCTCTCCGATACTTTAAAAATATTTTTTTCCAATTATATCTCGTATATCTCGCGCTATATAATCGAATGGAATGGAACATAAACTTAACATCACGCAGAGTGGAAAGTCTCTCGGGTAGTTCCAACTGCCATTGTTTCGTCAGAGACGATTTTCTGTTGCATGCTGGCGCCCTCTCTGGCTGCGTTTAATTTGGGCGCTACCTGCTGTAAGCTATCTTTATTGTCTATTATATGCCGGAGGGAACGCAGACTCAAAATTATTAGACAAGCGCGCAACGCGTTAAAGAGATAAAAAGTTAAGCAATACCCGTTATGACTCGGCCGTTTTGAAAATGCGTATACTTTCTAGCATGTTGCGAAGTTCATGGTTGCTACCTTGTCGTCGCGCTTGTGCGGAATCTACACTGACGTATTTACACTTATCGATGATCTCGGGAAGAGTGTGGCTGTGTGGTCGCGGGAGTGTTTCGATGTTTTCACAAAAGTTCCCAACAGGGAACAACAGGTCAAACGACTGATCAACTGTCTTTGCATTGATGTGGATAGATGTAAATTCCAAGTATAATTGTGTTACATCGTGAAGGGCGTAAGCAGCAAAGTGCGCAGCTGGTTGTCCGATAATTGATCATTTAATATCGAGGTGAGTGTCAAATGTCAGTTTGTCCTCTCAATTTATCCTCTCGTCAAATATATTTCATTTAAATTTTTTCATGCAATCGAGATAATCAAATGAGTATTCGTAACATTTATCTCGACGTTTAGTATCGAGTTGGTTATTTAGAGGTTAAGGTTATGAGTTTACGCCTCTAATAATGTACGTGCATGCGTGCGTCATCGAACATACGTAGAAATTAATCTTTCTTCGTAGACGTCATAGTTAAACTACATCATTAACGGTTATCTGTATCCGACGAATATTTTACAAACTCACAAAATTGACTCTAAAATCAAACAGATAGCTGTGTGTTTGAATATGTACTGCTCTGATATATAGAATATATCTTTTATGTCTGATATGATAAGAAATGATAGAACGATCCCATTGGGAATTAAGCAAATAATACAGTGATCCATGATAAAAATAATTCGAATAACATTAGTGGGAAGTCGGTAAAAATATCCGTCTGTAAAATGTTACTTTTATTATGATTAAATATATTTCTTTTCTTACAGCCGCCAACATGCCGATTTTATTCAGTGTGGTGGCTCGTGGGCCAATTATATTGGCGAAACACGCTGCATGCACGGGAAATTTTGAGGAAGTTACGGAAAAAATCCTGGCTAAGATTCCGCCACACAATGACAAACTCACATACTCGCAGGGGCCTTACCTTTTCCACTATATCTGCGAGGATTACCTGATTTATATGTGTATTACCGATGATGTACGTGTCTAATGTATCAAAGTAGACACATTAGAGATCGATACGTAACAAGGTTTAATTTTTCAGGACTTTCAAAGATCTAGAGCGTTTTTATATCTCAATGAAATTAAGAGAAGATTTTTAGCTGTTTATGGTCAAGGCGCTCAAACTGCCATGGCGTATGCCATGAACACAGAATTCAGTCGGGTGTTAGCCAATGAAATGGTAATGTCAGCACTAAGAATTAAACATATAGTCATATGTTATATAGAAAAGTCATTTTCATACATCTATGTTATCTAACTTCATATTTTTATCTTTCTTTTTTTTTTCTTTTGTATAGAAACATTATAGCGAATCAAAAGATCTGGATAGATTGTCCAAAGTGCACGGTGAGCTGGACGAGCTTAAGGACATCATGGTAAAAAATATTGACAATATAGCGATGCGCGGCGAACGATTAGAGCTTCTTGTACACAAAACGGAAAACTTGTCCGCTAATGTATGTAGAGATATTCTCGTCATTGATGTCATTAATCATTGAGCGTTCTAATAACGATCGGATTTTATCCTAGTCCGTCACATTCAGGAAGACAAGTAGAAATTTAGCGCGCTCCTTATTTTGGAAGAATGTCAAGATCTACGTTATCGTTGGCGCTATTTTAATCGTAAGTTTAATGTTAGGGTTGATACATGATATTTCAATTTTTTATCATGGCCCGACTACATTCGATGTACATTCCTTTTGTGCAGGTTACAATATACATAATTGTCTCTATAGCGTGTGGAGGATTGGCTTGGCAGAAATGTGTCGGGAATTAATTTACATACCAGAATATGATAGAGGATCCGAGCAATCGGTCGAATAATATCGATGTTGGAATGCGGAAGGAGGAAAGATACGCGGAAATTTAGCATGAGACTGACGAAGATTATATTCAACGCAAATTTATTATACGAATAATGTAGTTTTACCCGTTGTATAACGCAATAAGAACGTTATATTAATACGTATCTATACATTACACACATATATTAATACATATATTACATACAACTACGATAATCCGTTCATCACATATATATTTGTATGTAATATAAATATTATAATGCATGTATATTACATAAGTGTACGATATATTATTTTATTATTTCACTGTTCATCATAGTGTAGATTAGAGCTACTTCCGGCGCTACTTTTGCGGATTTACTTTTCTATTTTCGCGGGTCCGGCCATGGCAGCTTCAATTTACGTTATTACACTTGGTGAGACACGCACGTATATACACTTATCCAGTTGTATCTTTTACACCGTGTCATACACAGCGTCTATTATTCTGTATATGCGTTTGTTAATTTGAAAAGGCAAGAATAAAACACGATTCACATCCACGGATGCAACGCTCCTCGAATTTATCGCGTCCGATCACGACGAGCTAAGCGCGAACGATCGTTCATTTCCGCAATTTTCATCTCGTCACCCTCCCTCTCTTACCGCTACCGTGGAATTGCAGTTCTGCTTTACCGCTCCTCAAGCCTCTTACGGCTCATTAATTACGTTGGCTTCTCGTTTGCGCGCAAGAACTTTCCTATTCCAATAAGCCACCCTTACTTCCTAGTAGCCGTTCGGAAGACGCATGCGCCGGAGCATCGCTTTCGCAAGGGCTGTAGCACACCCCTGACGTATCCTCCAGTTCAATCACGACCCGATAATCAAATGATCGCAGATCTCGTTCGGTGCGCGTTTCGGATTTCTCGCGCGTCGTGTTAATCGTATCGGTTTCCTCCGAAAGGCTGCCTTCGAAAGCCACCCTCGAAATAAAATAAAATAAAAAAATATATAAATTATCTCGACGATAAAAATCGCTATTCCCGAGCTGTCCGCAAGTTCGTAAACGCGGAATCTGCTGTTTCGCGGAAAACTACAGGTTGTCGCCGGCGACGACCGGCATCTCACGATGCTCCGCTGAGAATTCGCGAGAAATCAGGAGGGATGAAATGAGAGGTGGAAAAAAAAAGTAATCGGCGTCATTTGGTCCCCGGAGGCGACGGTCCATCCCCTCGCTACGGGCTTGCGCCGCGATGCAACGAAGTCGTCCGGCGCAGCGGCGTGCGACGGGTGGCGGCGTCGCGGCGCGGGCGCTCCCGTCTCGACGCCCGGGCCATCGCCAGCAGCCCGGCGACCCTCGCAGGATGTCGAAGCCTCGCGTGGCGCGCCCTTCGGGAGGTGCCGAAGTGTCCCCGTGCCTCGCTATCGCGCGCCACGATTGATCCATCCACCGAGTTTGATTTTAGAAGAAAAAACGTTCTTTCTTCCCTTCTTTCTCTCTCTCTCTCTCTCTCTCTTTCTCTCTCTCTTTCATTCTTTTTCTTCCCCTTCGTTACATCGCTTCTTCCGCCGTATCACTTCCCGCTCTCTTTCGCGCTTCTTCCCGTTTCCCGCTCGATTCGCTCAACAAGTTTCACGATACCTTTTTTTCGAAGGAGCGTCGCGAGGAGAGTTCGCGGGCCGACGGAGAGGGCAACGGAGGGTAAAAAAAGTTTCGCGCTTCTCTTTCTCGTTCAGCGAAGGGAAGCGGCCGTAAGAAGCTCGCCGGGAAAACGCGGCTCTAGCCGCGCTCAGGTACGCGTGTGCATGAGGAACGCGTTGGTGCGTGTGTTTACAACCTGCGGATAGTGCGGCGGGGGAGGAGGCGGCGGTGGTGGCGTTAGGCACCGATTACGGGATATGGATTCGTAGTGGACCCGAACGGATGCGGAGGGCGGCAGATGACGGATCCGCGACCCGAGCGAGCCGGCGAGAGGAGGAGTCGAATGAAAGTGAAAACGGGGGACGACTGCACGGCGCGTACTACGACTACCACTACTACCGTTGCTGCTGCTACTACCACCACGATGTGAGGTGGGAGGATGCGTCGCCCTTCAGGAGAACGACGACGACGACGAAGGGTGCGGGAAGACGAGGACCGGCTGCCGACGAGTGCCTCGACTTCTTCCCGTGAGTGTATTTTTCCTTCTCTTTCCTTCTCGCCGGACTCTCGCCGCCGGCGAGACGTAAGATCGGGGTAGCTGATGTAGACGCGGAACTTCCGGCGCGTTGGAGGGAAAAGAAGTATTGGACTGACGCACGAGAGGAACTCACTTCCGCTCACGATGCTCAAGTCGAGAGCTTGATGAGCGCGGGATCTGGCTGAGCCGATCGAGCGTTGAAATTATTCGCACGCGTGCTATGTTGAACCTTCGAGAGACCGAGAACCGCGTACGTACCGACGGGTTTGTGTTATGTATGATGGTTTGCATGAAGAATCTCCCAAGTCGACGACGTAAAAGATCGATCGGACTTATATATTCGGGCCCTTCTCGAAATAGACGACCGAAATATGTATCACGTTCAGTCGATCGGTGGTAAATTGCCGCTCATCCGGAGTCCATTGGTTGCTCAATTTCTGTACAGTTCTCGCGTTCGAAGCGAAAGTCTCGCGAGAAAAGTCCGGAAACGCGTCGACGGGTAACGACGGGCGATCTCGCCCGTAAACTCGCAACTTCGAGCCGACTCTGGGCAATTTCTCACTCGGAATATTTTGTATAAATCGGGATACACCTTGCCGACTACTTTGTTTGTAAATAGCACGCGAGCGTCGTCGGGGGTAGCTACGTTTTTTCGTTTCGATGCGGCCCGATAGCTCCGGGCCTATCATTTGCCTACGTTTATTTTTCATCATTGCGTGCTTATTGCGTGCATCTAGTAACGGAGGTGTATAGTTTAGATAAAACGTCGGAACGCGACATCGCCGGCGTAAAAAGGCAATGAACTGCTTCCGAGCATGAACGCCGAGTGGAAATACGGCCGGCTTTCCTCGCACGCGACGGAAAAATCGTTGCTGCGGAATTCTGGGAAAGCAACAACTGCAACACTATTGTACCAGGGAGAGAGAGAGAGAGAAAGAGAGACGAAACTATCGACGTTGCTGGATATAGAATTTACCTATCGACCGGTGTAGGGGCAATCCTTCCGTCTCACTGTGTCGATGTCGCGCGTCGTGCCTACCTTCGCGTCGCTTCCTGTTTGTATCGTGACGCTTGCTGAGTACACACACGCGCACACATGCACACATACACACACACACACACACGCACAAATCACTCTATCGTGTATGAAGTTATCGTGATGTTTCCTCACTCGATTTACACACTCGACTCATCCGGCCGTTTAAGGAAATTAAGTTCGTAATCGATGCTCTTTGTTAACGTTTGTTATTAAACAATAAATAATTTAACGCCCGGTTGATGTACACAATCAAAATAACTTAAAAACGGATCGGAAGAAGCCTGCATTTATTAACGGAAAATAAACAGGTTGAGGGCTCTGCCGATGTGGAAACCAAAATAAATTGACAAGTAAATTTTGGTTCGAGAGCACGTCTTTAATATACAATCGATCTCTCGGATGACAATTTTCGCGATCGATATTGTTGGCCGCGAAACTGCTTGCGTTTGCTACGACCAGCCGAGAATTTAGCGCCTGACCCCAAGCTGTTTCTGCTCTGCCCAGTGTTTCCCTAATGCGCGCGGGGAGTCATTTTGATGGAGAAATATCCGATGCCACGTATATACGGACCATAAAACGCTCGAGAAACGGGAGGGTCCGTGAAATGGCGTTAGGGACGAACAGGAAGAATGTTCATTGACGTTAGAACTCCTGCGTCCCCGGCGAGGAAGCGCTTCACCGACCCCGCACTGGATTACTCATAGGCGGACAAATGTCTTCTGAAGGTACGACGCATTGTTTTCGTCCCCCGGATTCGCCGAAGTACCGTAAGTGTCTCCACGAAGTCTCAACGAAGTACTTAGGGGATGAGAGATTCGCCGGCTAGGCTCGCGGCATTTTTACGTTTCTCGAGGCGCGTTTGCGAAATCGCGTTGTTTCGTTCCGAAAAATCGGAATCGCGAAATTCGAAAACCGGAAAATTGCTCTTTCGGGAATTCCGCAATTTCCCGGGAAATTGTGCCCGCTCTGCGAATTTCGGCGGGACTTCTTTTTCGGGACGGTGCGCAACAATTGCAACTTCCGCGAGCGAAAACTTACGGGAAACGGATATCGATTCTTTTTCCCCGAGGCACACAGACGTGAAATAACCAAAGCGCTCGAGACTCGTCTTCGCGAGTGTGAGCGACCGTTTGCTTCACAAATCCCTGTCGCTGTCAGCGTGCGAAGTGACATGCGAGGCTGGCGCAAAGCGGCTCGAGTTTCGAAGATTGTATCACCGAAAACTTTGCATTAACTTTCGCGAGTAATTACGCATTCCGCGCGCATAAAGCGCGACGTCTTAGACGAAGTATCCCGTTGCTTCCCCAACAACTTCGCATAGCTTGCCTATGAAGTCTTAGCAGTAACATGACTAAGCTGTTAAGTACATAAGTCTACTGCTCGCAAGATAAACCGGAGCTTGATATGTTCCGCTACTCCCACGTCAACGCGTTTCGACGGACTCGTTAACAAGATCGCACGCTAAGAGAAAGATAGAGAGAAAGATAGAGAGAAAGAGAGCGAGAGAGCGAGAGAGAGAGAGAGGGTTTTTGTTGGTTCACTGCTTTTTGCATTAATAATCGCGTCCCGTGCAACAGAAGGGCAAACTGTATGGCCAACGGACGATCGTCGCGGCCATAATTACGTTATACAATTCCGGTCGAAATTATCACCGCGTTGTGAACTGGATAATTAACTCGAAGACAAACGGGGAGCCAGATTTAATTTCCCACCTGGCGTAATTAGTTTCGATCTTACAAAGTACGAGTCTCTGCCGTCTCATCGCCTTACGTAATTAAGAACATCGAAGCCCGTCGTCCTCAAGCTCGCCTGGCAGTAGTCGGAGGTGAAGTTCCCCACGTAAAACGCGGTAATGAGCGAGCGTCGTCGGAAATCCCGAGATGCAATATTTTACTTCATTTTTCTATTCAAACACGTTACGCAAGTTCCCCGACAACGCGAATCTCCCAAAAATACCGTCTTGGAAAAGTCTGGAAAACATTCTACTCGTTTTAGGTGTCTTTCAGGTGTCTCTAAAACGCACTTTAGATATTTGTGCTATTGGGACCGTAATTATTGGAAACAGTTGTACGACCGTCCCCACCGACTTGAAGGACAGAAGGGAACCGGAAACTCGAGAAATTCCGTGTGTAAAATTAGAGAACCGGAGTTCGTCACTGATACGAGAAACTTTCATCTGAATAACGCGGTTAATTTTACCTTCGACACAATAATATCGGCACGTCTCGCTGGTCGCTCGCTTAATTTCACCGCGATAAGTGTCGATATAAAAATCACAGTCTATTGGCGCGGCTTTCGCGCGAACGTTTTCCGCGAGGGTGCGAAGGAATGAAAAAGAAACGCCTTTGATATCCGGGGTTTGAAAATGTCGCTGCGTGAAGAAGACCGGGCGCACGCGATCACCGACTCTTTTCACTGGAGTATTTTCGTATCGCGCGGCCGAGAGCTTTCTCTCTCTCTCTCTCTTTCTCTCAAGCGAAGGGCAAGCAGGTGGGAAGAGGATATGTAGGAAGAGGAAAAGGAGGTGGCGTTGAGACGATCTGTCTTTCAAGGGTCGATTCTTTCAGGCTGCAAACCTGGTGGTGGTGGATTGTGTGTGCAAGGGCCCACCCTCTTTAGAATTCCCCGTCCGTAAAGGAGCGAGAAGCTTGTCGAAGACAAAGGCACGGGGGGGTTGGCGCGCGCGAGAGGAGTGGCAACGACGAGGAGAGGCGAGCGACGTGGAGGTGGTGTGGTTGAGGGGTGGTGAAAAAGTGAGAGGGAGATAAGGAGATAAGGAAGATGGGAGAGAGCTCGCCGGATCTCAGCCTCCGGCTACGCCAGGGCAGTTCCGACTCCAGAGACTCCTTCTACATGGACTTCGCTCAGGTACGGGGGAAGGGGAAGGAGGGGGAAACGAGAAACCGCGTCTCGTAGATTGAAAATCATCTGTCTCGGAGTACGAGGGGGGGGGGAGGGGTTAATTACTCGGAAAGATTTCGGCTGGCGAGAGTTACGAGGAGGTCGCCGCGAAGTTCGCGAGTCTCGAATCGCCGAATCTTTCAACCCATCCACGACAAATTATTGCGCGAACGAACTGTGCTCTTACTTAACCGCACATAAACCGACGTGACAATCTTTATGTTTTCTATGTACCTGAATTTTCCAATCACACGTCCACGTATCCGCGCCTCGTGAATATCGACTATTTGAGGAAAGAGCAATCATGTATGTCACGTGTTACTTTTTTCTTTTATGTGCAATTTTATTTTTTACGTTACACATGCTATCTTGTCTAAGTAATATTCGAAATATCGTTGCTACTAGAAAAATTTTAGCAGTCACAGACCTAGTAAATGTTAAAGTTATTACGTCGGTCGGAGTATATATAAATGTTTATTTCTTTTAATATATAAATGTTTATTTCTTTTAATATATAAATGTTTATTTCTTTTCTTTTCAATATATCTTAAATATGTACTTTTTTAAATATATATCTTTAATGTATTTTTATTTAAACATACATTAAATATATCTTTTTCTTAAATTTACCTTCAAGATATTTTTTTGTTTTAATGTATCTTCGAGGTCCACGCGGTTTTTACTTTATAAAATTGCACAATTTTACTTTTATGTGAAAATACGACGCGTGAAGTCGAAGAGTGCATAGATGAAAATTTAATAATCATCCTTTATATCCTCGACGTTCAACGTGAAGCGATGGTGAATAATTTTTAGTACGCAAGTGTCGCGATTCGATAAATTTCTATCGAATCAGTCTGCCCGGATATTTGCGGCTTTGTATTTGACCCTTCTAAAATCGGATTAAAGTGTAGCAACGTGTCAATAACAGAAATGCCGCGCCGATAGAGCCGTATGCTCCGAAAGACAAATTCAATATCCTCGGTAAATATCGTCGAAACTGGGACGGCCCTAAAAATAATCGGTCCATGAGAACGACCGAAATAATTTAGAACTGCACGTTTAAAGACTCCCGTTTATTCAGTCACTCACTCCGACAGAACATTGTCGTGTCACGTCGCTAATGAATGTTTTTACATTTCTATCGACATTCTGATTATATATATAACTTTGTTAGACTTAGTTTATACTCTCTATATATATTTAAGGATAGAACATATATATCTCAAAAAACAAAAACATCTTAATTGATCTATCTATACGTCGTTATCATTTTCTATAATGCAGATTTTTCATCTTTTCCTGCCGAAATCACCTTTCATAAACTCTTGAAACATTAATTACACGATGCTCCTCTATTACAATAACGTTACATTTCCAAAATAAGAACCGTGACTCAAGGAGTTAACACAACTTATTAATTGAATCTTAACAATCGAGCCCGAATTAACGCTTGAAATTCGCAAGCAATTAAACCATTTGAATTACTCGGCCGCGCAATTTATCCGATTTAGGACTCAACTGGAGTCTCTGTCGAGAGACGCGATAATATCTTGCGCCGATTTTATAACGTGCACAACAGTTTCACGAGTTATCTTGCACGCGGATGTTTCCGTGTGCCGGGGAAATATCTCGATACTTTGTAAATTATTACTTTGCCATTGGAAAAAAAAAACACGTGAGACAGCCTTTGGCAGCTAAAAACTCGCGGAACAAAAGCAGTTGACCGCTTACACCGACTACACCGACGCATCCTTTATTTGCACACCGCAGGGTATCGATTCCGATATCGAGGAAGTGACGCGACCAGGCGACAATAATTCCGATCCGATGCTGGAGAATCACCTGGAAGAGAGCGGGAACGACCTGCCGCCGATCGAGGACATCACGACGATTCCGGAGGAAGCCTCGGAAGAATTGAGGGAGGAGGAGGAGGCGGCCGCGTTGGAGGCTGGTTTACGCACGCCGGACGGTGGCACGATTAGCACGGAGATCGAGAAACCGTCGATCACGACCACCACGCAGGAGTGAGTAGAGAAACAAGAAAAAAGATATTTAAAGGCTCTAATGATAACCAATCAATAAGAATGAAAGGCTGGTAAATGCCGTCGCTGGAGCTTAAACGAAATCATGTCAATCTTACTCTCGAAATTATTTTGAAGTGACATTTTCCGCTCGAAATTCCACATCACATCATTGTCGGTCAATTTTATCCTCCCGCTTAGATTTAAATGACCCAAAACCCAGCGACTTATTCGCCTTTCATTTTCTTACTATAGTAGAGAGCAATCGTTTCTCATCCTTGCACCGCCCGTAACGCGCGCGCCACTCGAGACGAGCGCGACCTGCTCTCACTTTCCCCGGTTACTAATTTTCGCTCGATCGTTCACGTGCGTCGCTGCCGGGCTCGCGAACCACTTGACTCGCAGACTGAAAAGCCGGAAAAGCGAGCGAGCGAACTGAATAAAACGGGCGGCTCTCGCCAACCGCCCGAGACCACCGTCGTTTTCAGCTCGCATGCTGAGAGTCGACTGATTTAAGCCACTCGAGAAGTGGCAAGGGAAAAAAGGAAAAATAATCATTAATGATCCCGTCTCTCTCGACACGCGAGGGAAAGAGACAGAGAGAGAGAGAGAGAGAGAGAGCGAAACCGCGAGAAAAAGCGGCCGGTCGGCGTCAATTCGGGCGTTTTGTATCGATTGTTGCCGCTTTGTATGCACCACCGCAACGCGAATTACAGCCTCCCCTAAAGTGCCCGGCATTTCTCCACACGTCTCTTCATTGGAGTGACCGCCGTGCTGTGGCGGCGGTCCCGGGCGGGCAGCATTAATCACCGTCTGCGATTAACGCACATTTCCCTCGGTTCACGGTCCCCTGCACTTTGTGTACACCGTCGGCAATTAAACTTGATCCGTGAAAAATGCCCAGGCGATTTCGCAGCGCGCCGATTTCGAGTTCCCGCGCCATCAATTCCACGCCCGCGCACCGCGGACGGGATGCCTTCCGATGCAATTTCCGACGAATGTAATAAACCGATGTCTCGCGTGCCGCGTCGAATATACGACACGAGTCTACGAGATCTCGTCTCGAATATCACCCGAAATCGGAAACTCTTCCTCGTGTAGAAGCTATCGATTTGTGAAGACCCGTCGTCGACACTCATCGAAGTGGAAGCCGAAACGGATTGTACGATATTCAACTGCTTCTTTTTACGGAAAGCTACGATTCGAAAAAATCTATATTTTCTTATTTGAGACAAAACTTTGTCGCAGTGTAAAAACATAACTCAATGTAAGTAAACGTGTCGTTAGTACCGGATAAATACATTTCATTTTTAGACATTTGTTCTCTCTTCAATGTACTGCTACTTTTTTCCTGGAATGAAAAACACGGTTGGCGCCGAAAATAACTGCAACTTTGTAGGGAGATTAACAATTTTTTCCCCTCATCGTACAAGGGGAGCCTCGTCTCTCTTCATGACATCGTTATTGATGGAAACATCAACGTCTTATCGCTTACGTGATAACGATCCTCGTCCACGCGTCGAACTTGATCGTTGTTCGTCACGGTGTCTCAAATGAGACGATTCATCTCTGGTCCGAATGCCGGGTCTCCTCCGTAAGCTGGTTTTGCGGGCGAATTCGGTCCGTCCACGGAACTCGATTACTTCCGCCGGATATCGAACGTGCACGGAACATCGGCGTGAGAGTTAATATTGACCTGTCACTCGGTTATGGCTCACGCTCGACCTCCACGCGCATCTTCCCTCTCGCTTCCGGTTCAACCTTCGGAGACCTCCTAACCCTATCCCACGCGATCTCCTTCGTACTGCCGCCAACCCTCCCGAGCCCCCTCTCCCCGCCGCCAATCTAGCGGGAAAGCAGCTTATTCCGTCGATTTACATGCAGATTCAATCAACGTAGACACATACTCGCGACGACGCGGCGCTCTCGTCGGGAGGAAATTTACGGCGTCTAGGAAGGCAGTTTTTCATCGTTCAATTCGCCAAGTCTTTCGATTTTCGCGCTCAGGATAAATAATAGCGAAAATACATATCGTACGCGACCAGCTGAGCCACGTTAAAAAATACACTGAAAACAAATGTTCAGAATTTGCAATTATAATTATTCAAGAGAAAGAGTTGCAGTTAGAAACCAAATTTTTCTACTAAATATTTATTGTAGCGTCAATGATAATCTTACATGTATATTGTTATTTTTGGGTTGAAACCAGCAGAAAGTATATGGTTGTAGCTGGAAGGGACTAGAATTTTAATGGAATTTCTCTCTCAGTGTGTCACGACATTGTCGGAAATGTAAAAGAGCGATAATTCTTGAAGCGGAACATCGTTCGCAAGATATATCATACGGCGTGTGGCTGACACATTTCGTTCAGGGATGAAAAATTTCCCAGTCATACCGGAAGAGCGTCGCCCGGCGGAAAATTTATGTCCCACAATCCACACGGTCGACGAAGAAACCTCTCTCTCTCTCTCTCTCTCTCTCTCTTTCTCGCTCTTTCTCGCTCTCTCGACAAATTTTTCGTCTTGATGGGAAAATGGTAGACACGAATGGGGCGAGAGAGGGTATGTGTGTGTGTGTGTGTGTGCGTGAAGCCGTCAGATATTTTCCAGTGAATGTACCAGGACCCGCCGATCTCGGAAGGCAGACGGAATAAAAGTCGAAGTGTGTGAATATTGGAGTACGGCACTTTTACGCATTTTCGATGCGACGTTTACCGCACGCCTTCCTAGGAAACGTCGAACCTAAGTGTACGGGAAATTACATAAAATTCCGTACAGACAGACCGACAAATTCGAAACTCGCGTATTGGAATATTCAAATGCACGCGGCGCAAGTTTATTGTCGTCGCGATATGCGAAACGATCAGCTGCTGAAGCGTATTGCATTTTACTCGAGAACCGATGATACCGTGCTCTTTAGATTTCTCGAAGCGAAATCTCACTGGAAACAGGTGAAAAAATTCATTTAAAGTAAGTAAGAAAATACTGTATTCGGCGTTATGAGAATGTAAATGTTCAACTGAAATTTAGACCGGATTCTTAATCCACAGAGTGAATGTTTCAGTCTATTAGAATTGGATTTATTTATGATGATGGAGTGAGTCAGATTCACTCTCCTTCTCTCTCTCTCTCTCTCTCTCTCCTCAATATCGAATAAAAATCTTCATCACTCGACGATGCAGAGATCGGAGAATTCCCTCTATATGACTGAAGAGTCACTCGTATTCGAGCGACTTGGCCGCCACTTATACCCTTCGAGTGGAATTTCACTCGAAGAACTTTACAGAACGGGGGAAAAGGTTTCGTTATTACCCGCGACACGCAAGCGGGAAAGTGAGGATTCCGTAGGTAGGAGCATAAATCGAACAACGCCGTCCGGTATCAGTTCCCGCCGGCGGGCCGTTCGATTATTTTCCGAATTCGCGTCACGTAAGCGAAACAAAGCGATCAGCTGACGCGGTGTCATTCCGCTGGAAATTCGTTACACACCGCTAACGAGTTCGCCCCGTTCTGTCAAACGAATCCCGCGTATATATAGACAGGGCACAGAAGAGAGAAAGAGGGAGAACGAGAGTTATGTGCGACGAGAAGGATCAATATACACGATGGTCAGGGAGCCGGTCGGTCAGCCTCGACTAGGGCCTCAGTTTGCGATGCGGGGTCCGTGAGTGTCGTGCCATGAGCCGGAGGGCCGTGATTGTGTCATCCGTTGGCGAGGGCCGTTCATGAGGGCCAACGTTCCGAGACAGTCGAGGGAAACGCAAATCAAGGTCACGGGTATGCTCATCAAGGAGACGTCCCTCAGGTATTCGCTCTCGATTTCGCCACGCCGTGCCCCGATAAGGCGTTCAATCCCGTCGTGCAAATTTACCCTCACACGAACACGATAAATCAGAAATAAAAAGGGGAGAAACGATGTCACAGGAAGAGCGCGGTGGAGATAGGAGGTGAAGAACGGGCAGCTGCGGGACGAGTGACAAGCGATAGGATCGATGCTCTTCAACAGCCTGGCAGACATCTCCGGCGCGTAAATTCCCGTCGTAATATGCGAAAAGCGACGGAAAAGAGAAAGGCTAGCGAACCGAAACCTTCCGAGGCGCGGCTCAAAGGGCCCCCGCGTTTCCGAATGAGAGAGATGTGTACTTCGAGATTGGCCGCGCGGCGGATTGAATTCAAGTGGAAATGCCACCGACGCCTCGGCGCGGACAATTTCCCGAGAAAGGTCGCCGTCGAAGGAAAGCGACCGATCGTGTACGCGACTGGACACACTCGGCATCACGTATGCCGCTCCATTTCCTGGACGGAAAATTATACGATCTTCAGTTTTACATGTACGCACGAACACACTCAGAGAAAAGTATATAGTTGTGGTAACTGTAAAGGTAACAAACTGTACGAGTTTTGTAGAATTAATGTATAGTTTAATAAATTATTACTATTATCGTATTAAATTATTATCGTATAGTTTAATAATATTTTGTAGTCGTTGCAACTAAATACGAATGCATAGCGTAAACTATAGTTGCCGATAGCTAGAATTATCGTAACCATTCAGATTTATTTTCCATAACTATAAAAAAGTTTAGTTAATTATGTACGTTGATTCTGCAATACGAAACTCGTATAATTGTCACCTATGTTATTGTATTTTTCTCTGAATGCGTGTGTGTATGTATATAAGGTCAAAATCGTTTCACAATCAAAGCCATTATAACTCTATCATTGTAATTGGAATTGCTAATGCGACTTTCAACCTTATGGATTATGCATAAAGACTGAAAACCGTGTAGTTTTTCATCTGTTCCTAAAGAATGGTACAGCATACATGACGCTGACTGTGCGTACGCAAAAAAACAAAGAAACAGAAAAGGCACACGCAGGAAATCACGACCCGCTTTCGTGAGAGAATCCGCGAGACCTATCGCTCATCTGCAAACACGAGCGGCCGAGAAATCTCGATGAACGACACCTTCGCAAAACGGAAGAAAGAAAGAAAAACACGGACCTTCTCCAAGATCAAGCGAACACGCGGCCGGCGTCGCGCGATCAATCGTTCTCGTCCTCCTTCGCGATTCCATTTCTGGCGCGAAGTGCGAACGGTTAATTAAATTAACAAGTCGAGCAGTCGACGAAAACGTGGTGAGAGTGAGTGACATTGATCAAATTTAACTCGAGTCGAACTTCGCGGGACTTTCGAGGAAATGGTAAAATCGGAACGAGCGAACCAGGTCAGCGCGCCGAGTCGAAGTTCGCCGAGAGGAATTTTAATAATACAATATCTTCGGTCGAGAAGTCACGAAAAAGAGAAAGGGAGAGAAACGGGGAAGCAGGTACAGAGAGGTGCGCTGTGGGGGACGTCGAAGGGAGCGGAAGGCGACGTAAGGGCGGGAGGTCTCTGACGAAGGGTAGGCAGTTGGGCGATGCGCCGAGTCCTCGAATCGCGCACACCATCCTTCAGCCCTTCGCAACGAGGGATGGCACTCGACCGCTGAATCAACCCCTCAGTGCCCTCTCGTCCCCCTCGGCCAACGACACCCTCTCTCGCTCCGACGCTTCGCAACGCTACGTGATTATTTCAAAAAGCTCCGGGAGATGAGCCGCCACCCTTCCTTTCGTTAGCGTCCTCGCGTATCGCCACGTTTCCGCGAAACACTTTTTGCGCCGGGCTGCTGCGTGCCTGCTTCCTCGAGAGCACCGGGCTCTCCTCCCGCGCACCTTGCCGCCTCTTTGACCTCTCGTCGTGGAGATAGGTCGTCGTGCGTCGCCAGATCGTTTGTCTTCGTGAGCGCGCGCGCGCGGCGATTTCGCGCTGGATCTTAAACGGTAAACGCGACGTCACACGCTCGGAGGAAAAATATAGACATAGTCTTGATATAGTTATCACGTATGTGTGCTAGATTTTTCTCCGAGTGTGTGCGTATTAGTTTCATCAACGCTGTTCTGAGGTTCTACGTACAGAAAAAATTCATTAATCGATCAATTTACATTTCTTCAAACGAATTTTCCCGATTGCGAAAATCGTACTGAAGAAGAAAAGAAGTGTGTTATCACCGAGAAAAAAGGACATCTCGCGAGAAGGAAGAACCCCGCCGAGCTGACCTTCGTCGAGGTTGCCGCTTTAATTGATATTTTGGCGAAATTTACGAGCGGGTTAGAGTTGCACGCCGAGGAATGCGTTAGAAGCCGGAGAATGCGGCCTAAGAATGCAACGATAGGACCGTTAATTCCAGCCGTCCGCCTTGAAAATGTACGCTCAGGTGGAGAGTAATTGCGACAACGAGATGCCTGTTAGAAGTTTCATCAGCGTTACTCTGAAATTCCACACACCAGAAGGATAATTTATCGCTAAGTCTCAGTAACCGATTCGGGCTTTTAAAATTAGCCGAAAGGCTAATCGTCTCGCTTGATCGCTCTTCTCTTCGTTCTTTTCCGGCATATATAAAGTGCGCCATTCATTACCGAGTGAATCTGCTCTCTCTTGTGACTACTCGGCCGACCTATATTTCTTCGAACGAATTTCCTCGACGGTGAAAATCCGCACGGATGCCGAAAAGGAAAAAAAGGAGTTATAGTTTCACCGAGAGAGGAGACCGTTTCGCCGAGAGTGTCGGATTGAATTGATCGTTTACGGCCGTTATTAGATAAACGACTGGTGTTAGTAGAAAGTCAACGCTACGTCATTTAATGACACACAAAGCCATCAGCACTAGTCGGTCTCTTCCTGCAGCCAGTGTCAATGTGATGTATCAAACACTATAGCACCGCGTTGACCTTAAATCGGCCGAGCGTGCGGTTCATATAAAAATCATCGACGCTATGTGTCATACACGGTCATACCTCTCGATCTTCCTTCCTGTACGTACACGTGTCTTAATTAACGCATTGACTGCGGACGTGTCACACGTGTACGCACGTTGAGAGTTAACTGGAGACTTCGTGGGGCGGGCGTATCACGCGAGTGATACGTATCGAATTACCGGTTGCTGAGATAATGTTTTTTTTCCAAGATTTCCCGCACAATCGTAATGTTATGAAAAATGATCTACAAAAATGAAAATATTATTCCGGCTCCAAGGATGCATCGCCACGAAGTGGAGTCCGTAATCGAAGTGTTAATTAAAGTTGCGACACGGATTAGAGCGACAGGTATTACCGAATATGTAAGTCGGTCAAGGCTATCTACGCAATTAACTAGAACGAATGAAACGGAGAGAGAGAGAGAGAGGGAGCGCTTAACGAAACGTACAATATAAAGGTACAATATAAAAATTATTAAAGTAACAGGTGCAATAAGCGAATTGTTATTGTGTAATGACGGTGTGTGAGCGAGACAATTACCGCCTACAGCATAATTGTAACGACTTACGCGGTCTTCTGAATCGTCAATTAATTAAAATCACTAATGGTAGCTCGGCGGGAAGGGCGTGGTCGCGAGTTTATTTGCGTTTCCCACGTGGCGGCACGCAAAATATATAAAAAATGAAGATGAAGGGGACTCACGCAGACGCGGCACGTGCCGCTGCGAGATAATTAATTCGAGGAAGAGGAGGAAGAGGAGGAAGAGGAGGAGGAGAAAGCAAATAATGAATATTCTCTTTTGTTCGCGAGCGCCGAAATATTACTCGTCGTTGCGATAATTCGGTAGTTTCGCGTACTCTCGCGGTGTTCTTTTCCTCCGACACACGAAATACGACACGAAGAACTCGCGCAGCTGCTGTGCTTCTATTATCCGGGGACCAGACGAAAACTCGGTTGTGGCAACAAAAAGATTCCCAAAGGAGATTTTTATTCGGTCAATTCTTTTCAGTTATCGCAATCGAGTTTCGAAGCAGCCGCCTGTTCGGACGAATGTTTTCGTTCGCGGGCAGCAGAAATATCGCTTCTCGTTTCCTCCGAGTTTTCCTCCGGTCCCTATTTAGAACTGACACACGGAAAAGTTCAATTCCTGCATGACTGAATCGGGGATCAAATGAAAACTCGGCGCGACGAGAAATGATAATCTCCGCAACTAAGCGGACGTTCACGTGAACATTCCGTCGCATGGAAACTCGATCGAGACACAACTGGGGGCGATCGACAACTGAGCGGAAATCTCTCGCAGAAATCATTTCATATAACCGAGTTTTCGTCCGGTCCCCCGGCAACGGGAGATTCAGTTACACCGGAATCCGTTTCCCCTACGTGTACGCGAAATGAGATTTCTTCCATTCCGATATAATGACCGACGGTATTACCTGAGAGTCTTGATGACGAATATCCGTCGTTCTTAGCGGTCTTTTACTTTTTGAACAATCCTATCGACTGTGCACAGTTGGCCAGGGCTGCCGGTCGCTCTACCATCGCCAGCTTCGCCATCCGCGGTAATCGTCTCGCCGGAAACGTTGTCTAGACACAGCAGCAGCTCACCCTCTCGCATCCACCGGCCGCCCCAATTCGCGTTGGCCCTGCCATGCTCCTCGCAGCCGATTCCGGCGGTCTGCTACCCAGCGCCGACCTTCCTCGAGGTCACCGACGAGCGGAAGTGGAAGAACCTTGGATGGTGAGTGAGCGAGGTGGATCGGATCGTTTCATCATCGGCCGGAGGTCGATGTACCCGAGTGGTCGTTCGGTCAGTCGGCCGCTCTCCCGCGTGTTTTCAATCGCAGCTGATTCCCAGCGATTGAATGTTACACGCGCGCGCGCGCGCCCACGCGATTATTAATCCGCTTTTCACAAATGTCGGCGGAATGTGATTTCATTTCTGCGGAGGCACGCGCCCAGGGAGCCGCAGCTGCGGGAAGGAGATTGTCATTAATGTTAATTGGATTATTAATATTAAATTCAAGCGTGCATACTTTTGTTCTAATTGTAACTTGAGGCTCGCGCTCGTTGAATTGTTTTCATTTAGCGGAACCTTGTTGTTGTTGTTGTTATTATTATTACGACGACGTTGCGACGCGCGTTTCTCACTCTCGCTCCGGGAGAAACGAATTCGCTCAGCAAACGCATGCGAAGGGGGAATGCCGGTCGGCCACGGAAATTTCACGTGATCCTACAGGTTATCCTGACCGACGTCTGCACCGCAATTACCGGCACTTTATGAATCAAACACACGCGTACAGGCGTACGAGCATGCGATTACTCGTAATTGAGCCAATTCTTACGGGGGTGGATGATATTTGCGGCCAATGGTATCTCCGCTGTAATGTTACACACAATGACGAGAATATCCAGCTAACGATCCATCATACTGCCCTCGATCTCCCGTTTTCGCGACGATTCATTCCGGAAAATTATTTCCACTTACGCCGAGGACAGAAATCGCGTCGTTCGCAACGGTCTTCGTCAATCTCGAATTATCCGCGGCGACTTTATGCGGAAGAAACAAATATTTACTTATCTATTTGTTAAATATGAGAATATCCCTTCATGATTATTGCAGATTATTATTTCTCAATTCGAAGAAAAAGAGAAATTTCGTCTTATATGATCGACGAGTCGTTATTTTTACATCACTTGAGAATTCAATCATTTCCCACCGATTCGAATAAATTCGTTCTCCGAACAGGTTAACCTTCTGTATAATATATTCCACCTGATTACCGGTGAGTGTGTTTTTAAATACAAATGTAATCAATTAGTCACCTTCCTCACCTAATAATACGCGCGAATGGAATGATATTCGCTCGCTCGAGCGCGTTTTATCGATCGAAATCCCGGCCTCGTCGATAAAAAACTGCCGGAGTGGACTTACGGACGGGCGGGATTTGATAGAATTCCTTGACAGCGCGTTTCGCATGAAGATCCGCTCGACAGCCGGGACCGTAGCAGCAACCGTAGAGGAGGGAGGTGACTCCTCAAAGTACCGCCGGAGATGGATCTATTTCCTCGAGCGAGGATTTAATCCGCGAGCGCGCGGATCCGCCACGCGTTTCATTCAGCTTCAATTTCCGTTTCTGCTGCAGCGACGCCCTGGCGACCACTTTGAGCGCGTTGTACGGGAAACTTCTGGTCGTGATGGGGATCGCCTTTCCCATGGCGGAAGTAATATCCACGTACATACCGCCGTCGTTCTACGAGGCTTTCTACCTCTACCTCTACTTCGGCAGCATGATCTTCCTCGTATACATGTACGCCATGTTGTTCAGGGACGGCAAATCGAAACCAAGTGAGTTCATTATTGCATTCGCAAGGCGTAGTTTCCCCATCTGCCGCGATAAGAATTCCCCAACTTGCGGGAGGTATTGATTCCGGTCCCGCGAGGGGACCGAAAAGCTCACTCGAGAAGGTGCGGTAGTCGCGTGTAAAAGTAGACAGAAGCATTTCCGCGGGAGACGCGAGAAATTGCAGAGGCTGCAATCGCAGCCTTTAATTCCGATCGATCTACGCGCGCACGACGACGACAATATGACACGTTTGTATATGTCATAAACTCGACGACCTCGTTCCGTTTCCCATCGAAATTCCTCTCTCGGCCAACGACGGCGATCGCCGAAACGAGGCGTCGCGTCCAAATGGTCAATGGAAGGAGGATCGCGACACTTTTACCTCGATAAATTTCGGAACGCGTTCGATATCCCATTAGGGAAATTCATCTTCTGGGAAATACCGGGAAACAAATTCTCCTATTGGCTACTGATGCGTGGCGATGTTCATTGGGGAAAAACTGTTCCAACCTTTCTCCCACTGACTGTATGTACAAGGGGAGAATTTTTATGTAGTAAAAATTATTATAGAACTTTATAACCGAGAAACATATCGAATATTTTGTCTGAATTTATTATCCTTTCCTTTTGTGTGTGTGATATTTATATTTTAAAAACTTGAGTTTACTACTGTCTTAACAAATGTATTATTACCATTCTTGCAAATTTTTCCTCTTCTTTTCTCAACATCATTTGTTAAAACTCTTTCGGATGTTTTCGTATTTTCCGTAACGTATATTTTTGTAACGCTATTGAGGGAAAGCTTATCTTTACTGAAAACGATTTATATATTTTAGGAATTCTCTCTCTAAAGTGTAGCGTTAAAAATTGTACTCTGAACCTTAGCAAGATAAATTCTGACGGGATCCAATTTCCTGCGCCACCAAAAAAATACGATGAAAACTAAGAGAATTAATACTGTACGTAAAAGTTCTATAAAAAAAATAATCTCTCTCCATACGCGCACGCCGCGACGAGCGATCGTTGTCCCGCGAGATAATCGGGATCGACTTGCTAAGTTGTAAATTTGCGAAGCAGAAAAGCAGAAGGACGTGTGCGATCTGGATTCATCGCGATCGTCGAGCGGCGCCGGCGGCGACAGTGACGCGCCTGAGACCGGATGCCCGCATATGAATCCGGCACGTCCGGTCCAGCACTATGGCAGCTTTTACCTGCGAATGGGCGCCGTGGCATTCGGCATCGGCTCGATGATCTACTCCGGACTGGAATTCGGCCAGTATTTCGAGCTGGAACGCAACACCAAGTGTCACAACATTATGTTGGCTCTCACGCCCGCCACGAGAATGGCCTTCATCTTCATCCAAATGTACTTCATATTCCTGAACAACGAGGTGAGTGAGTAGGCGCGCTCGGTGCGAACGACACGTAGGTAGAGAATAATCTACAACTCGCGACCTTAATTTTCACGACGAACTTCGAACTGACGGACGATCTACAAATCTGACGGACTTTTCCCTGTCCGATCTTACGCGTCTTTCTGAGCGAAGCTGCGAATCGAGATTCTATCAAAATCCACCGAAAGTCAACTGAATGTTACAATTTTACATTCACTACCTAGAAAGGAAGAATATTTATCTAACTTAACGCACATAAAATTCTTTTCCATTTTCCTTTTGCAAAGTACTCCGTTATTTGAGACATTTTACAGCTTTTAAAATTCGAAAAATAAAACAATATTCATGATATGTTAATTAATATATATTTTCATAATAAAGTAGAGCAATACCACCGAGGTGAAAAATTTAATAAAAAGAATACAGAATAGCGGGACAAAGCTGTTATCGATCCCTTAAGTATCGCTTCACGTGTTACATCGGAAAACCTTGATGGTCTTGCTTGATGGAATCCACTGATGGAAGTATCGAGCCAACACTAGCGTGCCGGTTACGGGGTTAATGAAACAGAAGGGTGAACAACCCTGAGAACAACAGCAGAACGTGACTGTTCGAACTCTTTGGTATCCTAGCATGACGAACTTATCACTTCTGCTGCCAGCATTAATCCAATTTCCGTCGGATAAAACTTCCATTGATTCTTACGTAATTAAGTTGTCAGTTCAGAAAGTATCCTCGCGAAAGAATCTCCTCGAAGCAGGACCGTATGATTTCACTTTAATATCAGGAACCAACGATTTCCAATTCTTTTCTCGTTAATCTTCTTCTTATACCCGCGTACAAAATATCATAATTTCTTTACGAGACATTTCAATTATCTATTAAGATGTATCTTTTATTGAGATTTTAATTTATCATCAAGATTGATTTATTAATTAATTTAATTTTCATTAAGATTTTACCTTTACTATCTGACGTGTTCGAAATAAACCAAATATGACTTGAGTGCGCGCGCGCGCCCGCGCGATAAATTGAATTCCGATAATGAAATAACGTCCACACGTTCCAGCAAATGAAAGTTTATCGCCATCGCGTTGTCGCGCGTTTCGGACTGATGCACATGATCGGCACGAATCTGTCAGTCTGGCTGAACGTCCTCGTCCAGGAGACGAAGCACGAGATCCTCACCTTCTACAATCCGGAGAACAACTCCCTCCGAATCTCCCACCGGCTGGGTAAGGCGTGCGAACGAACGATTCTTTCTCGAATACCTCGGCAAAAAGAAGGAAAACACCTGACACTCCTGGAATTTTCCCGATGTGCAGGCTCGAAGGGAGGACTTCACCTCGGCGGCCATACTCACTCTCATCACGGGGAACACGTGCGACTGCCGCGCGGTCTCAAAGGACCCCATCACATGTTCGAGTGCCGACGGACGAATATAATGGGATCGTTGGTGCAAGACGCCAGCCCCTTCCTCTTCCCGTGCACGATAGAATACAGCCTGATTTGCGCGGCCATTTTATACGTTATGTGGAAGAACATCTCGAAGGCTGGATTCACGCATCCCATTACGCCGCCGGGCTCGCGTCACCACGCGCACGCCTACAGGTACAGTGTTGCAATAATATGCGCCCATAGCCGCGATAAAACAACACTACTACGCCCACAGATAACGCGGTAACAATCGCACGTCCACGGAGACGGGCGAGCGACAGCTCGGTTTGCCAACTAATTCCACCCGTACAACAGCTTAGCGGAAAATCAATTACAGATAATATCTTCGCGCTCTTTTTCAGCGTTTTAACGCGGCTCATTGCGCGTGTAATTCCGCAAGGATCGCGCGCTCACGGCATTAATTCTCCCGATCCCCCTGGGTTACATGTGCGCCTCACAGTAAGCTCCAAAATTTATTTCGCGTTAGTATCGTTTAACTTGCTGCTCTACGTGTAACAACGTATATATACATGTTTGAAATTCCTCGGGGCAAAAGAGAGATCGGAAGAGTTAAGGCTGGCTCCGCGATAGAAATGAAAAGCTCACGTTTACCTCTAAACTCAAATCTTGTGAAACGAGCTTGAAGTAACGATTTGATTAACATGAGTCTTAATCGAGCAAATAGCGTACAATCGAGTATACTGAAGAGACGAACGCCCGACGATTCGCAGGAAGTCCCCCCACCATTACAGCGTGGACTGCGCCCGCGCGCACAAGGGCCTCTTCGTGGGCATCCTGATCCTGGTGCTGACCATCATCTCCCTGATCCTCTTCTTCGTGCTCATCTCGCGACCCGAGCTGGTCAGCCTCGCCGTGACCGAGGTGAACGTGTGCGAGCTCACGCTCTACGGGATGTCCACCCTGGCGACGTTGATCGGCATGTTCCAGATGCGCAAGCTGCGCTACGACGGCGGCAGAAACCTCGAGCTGGACAACATCCTCCTGGTGGCCGCGCAGACCGGCATGTTCATCTACTCCACCTTCACCATCATCGGCGGCCACTTCACCCTGCAGAAGCACACGGTCCTAGTGTTGGTCACCGCGCTGGCCAGCGTCGTGCAGACCACCTGCCAGACCATCTTCATCCTGGACGCCTCCAGACGCTCGGTCGCCACCGCCGAGCAGATACGGCGGAAGCCGGGCCGGGAGATCGTGACGTTCCTCTTGGTGACGAACCTGGCCATGTGGGCGATCAACACCCTGGAGAAGTCCCGGGCGGAGTCGCACCCGGTGCAGCTGCACTTCTACGGCCTCTGGGCCTGGACGATAATCACCCACGTGTCGATGCCGTTGGCGATCTTCTACAGATTCCACAGCACGGTGTGCCTGTGCGAGGTGTGGAAACGGGCCTACAAGGTCAAGCCCACCTACATGTGACGCAAGGGGTCCCGCGAGGTCGTATGGAAGACCGCAGGTGCCCCGCCACGGTTCTGCAGGAGCCTGCAGAGACTCGACGCCATCGCGGAGAACGATCCGGCGTATTTCATATGATCGAGAAAAGCCGAATCGGGGGCGTCGAGGCCGCCTCGGGACGACCGACTGACCCGGCCGGGAGGAATTCGCTCGGCCGACGGTCGATGCGATTTTCACGTCGACAGAAACGCGCTGGACGTTACAGCGCGCGATCCACCACGTGACGCCACCGGTCTGTCACCGCGCGAGCTACGCTAAGGTTCTGTCAGATTCCCGGATACCTCGAAGAGCCAGCCGCAGCACATAGAGCAATTACAGGTTCAAAGGCCTGAAAGGACGTTGCCGGATATTACGTGTGTAGTGGAAACATGGGTCGGAGTTAGAAAAAGAATGAAAAGAAAGGAAGAAAAAAGAAACACGAACCGACGAGAAAGCACCAGGGGGGAATAAAACGTAAACGATAGATTTCAGAGGTCATTTATCGGAAGTCGGTGTCTCTGGTTAACCTTGTACAGATAAAAGCCAGTTCGGCATGAATGTCCGACGACTCCGCGTAGTATCCTGCGCAACATCACGTTGCGAAAGTCCCACTGTCACTTCCTAAACGGGATTAGTCATTCGCCGCTCGAAATATCGCTCGAACGATCGCGAGTCGCGGGGAATTGGTCGAGAAGAAGAGGAAAAAAAGGAGGAAGAGGCAGAGAAAGGTCGCCGATCGAATCGCCTCGCGGAGAAACCTTCGTTGCAAATATGCGATATCGCATCGTCTTCTCTCGAGCTTGGCACTCGGCCACCATTCCAAGGTTTCCACCGATGATTGAGACTCTACTTCGCCATCGATATCTGTAAATAGCAGTCTCTGTTAGCCACACCGCGTCGGAGGAAACGGGGCCGCGCGAATTAACGAAATTCGCGGTACGCGCATTTAGAAGAGTCCCGGATTTCCGTGTCGACAAATGATAAATATCACTCAGAATTTAGCAGTCAAGGATGCAATATAAAATAAAAGCAAGCAATTATATCACAATTAAAGGAATTGTTAAATAATTGCAAACGTTTCGGCTCTTCTCCGAATTCTCTTCAGGAGGTTCTCTCACTTGGCCCTTGACTATCAAATTCTGATTGGACATCAATAGAGCCATCTCTATATTTCTAGGAAAAATCGTCTATGTGTATCTCGATATCTCTCTATCACTCGCCGTTTCCCACAGCTTTCGTCCTGAGCCGTGAGCTAAGAAAGCAGGAATGGCAACGCGAGATAGGAGAGAATCAAAGTTCATCCGCATGAAAGAGAGTTCAATCGCGATAGAGCGGTAGATAAACGATCCCACTGTTATCTTCTATCGATTCCACGATATCCTGTCAACTACGAAAGAGAGATCAGATGATTTAGCTGTTCGAAGGTGTAGCTATATGTGGAAGGTAATGCAATCGGCGGTATTCTTCAACAGGTCTGAGCGGTTAGGCCGACCAAACTTCTCGATATTGAACTTCTCGATGAAAGTTAAGTTGATACAATATTACACGTAGATTCTAAACGCTCGTATATTTGAACGTGTTCCCCGAAAATTCGACGGATCGAAACGGAAGAAGGGAACGCCAAGTTATAAGGAAACAAAACCGACCAAACGCACGACTGGTAGGTGGCGGAACGTCCACTCGTTAGAAGTAGAAAGGATTAGATTTCCTTAGAACCAATCCGATCGAAGCGTAGTCTTTCGATTTTACGGGAACAATGAACCTTCGTTCGATACATTTTTCTAGTTCTGAGAGAGAGGCCGAGAGAAAGGGAAGAGAGTTCAATTTCCTCTCTCCTCGGAAGACTGAAACGAACGTCGGGAGAACGGCCGGAACACCGAATCCTAATCCACTTCGAACCGAGTCCTCTAAATCCGCGTCTCGAAAGAGAAAGAGCCAATGTCCGTTTCCTCAATTTTCAATCGCAGAAGTCTGATAATTTATGAACATTTCGGAATCGTGAAGGATTCACTCACCGCAACTGAAATTTGGTTTCTAATGAGTCTAACCGATGTAATTAGCGGAAAGTGTCTCATTTTAAAATGTTTACAAATTTTGAGATTTTTATTACTAAGGATCGATGGAATAGGCATTGATCGTTTACTTCCGAGGCACGGAAAATATACAATTTTATTGTTCGGTGCTCGCAATCGAAGGCATTTGAACGCTTTTACGGATATCCGTCTTCCACGTAGTACAAACTGCAGTTTAACTCTGGAACACTGGAAGGAATAAATTCTAACTGAGAACACGCACAATATGTGATAGTTTATATATAGTATAAGATATAAAAGAATAGTTCGAAATTTTTTAATCAAAGATCGCTCGCTTTTCTTCTAGAGAATCTGAAGTATGCAGAAATTTTAATAAACAATCAACAAACATAAAACCAATTGAATGTTCTAGAGTTAAACCGACAATCGTCGCGTCCATTCCAATGGTTCGAGAACAAAATTGCGGCGGGAGAAGTAGATTACGAGTACGTTCGATATAGTAACAGACAATATTTTGGTACAATGGTGTTATTCACGAGTTTTCGTGGTAAACCAAATTATCCTCCTTATTGAGTGTTACAGTTTGTGAGACAACTGTACAGGTCCTAAATCGTTCAACTGCGACGAACAAATGGTCGCATTAATTAGAAATATTCTAACGGTGCGATGACGCAAAAAATCCGTTTTCCTCGATTTCTTATTCAGCAAACTCAAAGTCCCTACTTGTCTTACGAACTTTATTTTGTCGAACGCCCAGTCCATGTAAAGTCGATAGAGAGAGGGAGATCATGTAGATATTAAATACCTTAATATTTTGACCACCACGCCATCCATATTTGAGTGACGCGTTTCCGCATGGGCGGAATCTTATTGACGAATGACGGTTCTACCTACTCAATTATGTAAGAATGATTCTATTACATAGTCATAAGGATATCGCATGAAAACGGTGAAACATTTCCAATACGAAATATGCTAGATGTATTAGAAACAAAATTACTCGAGATGGCACTTGTTTCGTACGATTCGTGGGACTCACGCTGGCATCCAGCGTGGCAGTCGAAGGTGTCATGAGACGAAAAATGAAAATCAGAGAACTTGAATTCTTTTATATCTAAGGAGAGATGTACGCACAAAAAAAAAGGTATACACTTACCGTCGTAGAGAGCACGATTGATTAAGGACGAAGATATTTAGCACTGCTGTTAACATCATGATCTTACAACCGTACGGATATTTTTATCGTCGAAAAGTTTGTATCGTCATTTAGAAATTTATTTCGAGCCAGACTCGGAGAGAGAACGGCCAGAAACAGATCGACGAGCCCGAGTGTATCGAGTATCTGTATCCCCGAAAAGCTCTCGTGCAATCTTCAAGGAGATGCGATAGGAAACTAAAACGGAAGGAGACGTTCGGAGTAGAAACACCACAGTACAACGGCTGATCATATCATTGAGCCTTAATCCGTCGAGAAGAGTGCTGTCCGAACTCTGATAAGAGATAAAGAGGGGATCAAAGCCGATCGCGGAGTCGAGCGCGATCTCGAAACTGAAGCGACCTACTCGAGTTTCTTTCATGCTCAACTGACAGGTGGTGTGGTGATGCGAGATCCCACGAAGAAGAATGAGCGACAAATGAGTCTATCGTGTGATCTCTGATGAGTTTATGTATGTGTGTGTATGTGTGTGTACGGCTGCGGTCCGATTTACGCCTACGCACTGTAAGCGTTATTCTATTTGTATTGTTTATTACATGCGACCAACGGAAGATAGAATGACGTTAATAGATAAAACGCGTAAATCAGACCGCAACCTGTGCGCGTGTGTGTATGTATGCATGTGTGCGAGTGTGTACGTGTGTGTGTATGCGGGTGCATGAGTATACGAATGTACGTTTGTACATGGAACGAGAGCAAAGACAGAGAGAAAGGAGGGAAAGTCGAGAATTTAATGGAAATATAGGCACACTTATAGGTAATACGTATCTCGTGCTAGAAGCTTCGATATCGATTATCGCCGTTGCGAACTATATAGTTATATCCGGTCGGTGCAGTCGATTTTTTGTAAGATATCTCGTTTCTCCAAGACGACTGTAAATAAACGGAGGAGAATACACAATAAAAGCAGGTTCTCTCGGTGTTTAGCGCTAGTTGTGTCGACATGTTTCTTCCTATAGTATATATATATTATATATATACACACATATATATATATATACAAGATATAAATATATTTATTATTATGTTGTTCTATTATAATATTTATTACAACGTCTGACATAGGATTTATATACGCGCGACGTGTTACGTTTATATTGAGAATCCTGAAGACTCGTGCCGGGATCCCATGTTCCTTCTTTTTCTTCGCTTCTTCGTTCGTTCGCGGTATTCTTCCTAATTAATGGAGAACAGCGGAAATGTCGAAACGGACGACGTGTCGGAGCACGTCGATGTGAAGAACAACGCTGTCAATTGATGCTACAACACAAAAACAGACTCTCTGAGTATATGTTGAAATTGAGGGACGATTGAATTCAATTGTTACAGCTGAATTGTTTGAACAGAAACCTGTCTAGATTTGATCTCTAAGTATTGCAAGAGAGTCTCCTTCTCTCTCTCTCTCTCTCTCTCTCTCTCTCTCTCTCTCTCTCTCTCTCGCAGGACATTCCTGTCCTGCGTTTCTCGCGTGCACATGGTTGATGCATTTTCGCGATCTCGGCATGAGTTTTCGCCGGAAGAAACGTGAAATCACAGGGCGAAAATCACGAAGGACGCAATTCGCATTTTTTGCAAGTGATATATATAAAAGAAGAAAAGAAAAAGAAAAAAAGGAAAAAGAAAGACCCAACGGGAATGTTCTCTTTATTATATCACATCTCTAAACTATACTTTTTCTATGTCCGCATAAAATCTAGTTCCTACGCAATGTTTGTACTCTTATACCCTTTGTACTATTTGTACCTTACGAATTGCAATACACTCGTCCGCAATAACGAAGCGTCTACCTCTCTTTATTACCGCTCACCGTTACTCCCATTATCTAAGATAGAAAGTACCAGAGAGGCAACGCGTCGAATTGTTAAAACCGCAAACTCCATCGGCGCCGCCGGCTGCCGGGTGAGAAAGCTACGTCGAGATCGACTCCAGTCCCGGACAGATTCGCAACACCTGAAATCAAACTTTCTAGATAATGAGAGTTTGTTGTCCGTGCGACAAGCGGCCGTTAATAATGCGATGGTAGCGGCGAATAATTGAAATAGCGGCGAACCCGGCGGCACGCTCGGCGATCGGGCCGACCCAAATACCACGCGATTCCGGAGTCGACTCCGCGAATGCGTTCGTGATCTCTCGTTGTTGAGGTAGGCCTTCCACGGGCCTTTCCAAGGTCATCCGGTGACCGACCCTCAAACTGAATCTAATGAAGACGAAGCCGAGACTTTCTCTTCGCGGAATCAATTTATCTCGCGAGAATCGAATACCCAAAAGACGTACAGATTTTAGCTGACACACTGAGAAGAACAATGATTAATCATGCTAAAATTATAATCATTCCCGGCGCCACTTTGTACCCCGTGCGATTCTGATCGAGGAGAGAAAAAATGTCGCTCAATCACTTACATTTTGTTGTAAATTCGGCGTTTTGCTTCCTCGATTAATTCACCGAACGTTTCTTTTGGAATTACTTTCGAAAAATTAATAATGACAGATTATTATCGTCGTCGTGCACTTCATTATTGAGAGTCCGAATCGCGTGTCGCGAACTATTAACGTATTTCGTCGCGATTTGTATCGGAGCGCGGTGAGTCGGCCGAATTTTTCGACGGTCCCTGCATTTGAGAATACAAATGTGGAGAAGCTGACGGCGAGAGTATTTCATGTCGAACATGCTGTTGACGTAACAGAAGCGTTTCCCTGAGTGCTCTTGAGAGGTAATTAGTCAAATTGATAAATGGAATGCGCGCTCTTAATTAGGCCGGCAAGCGAACCAGATCGACTAAAATAATTCACGCGATATCCGCAAACACCAAGATTACTTCACGCCAATCAATTGTCTCGTTAACTCCTGATTGAGGTCAGTACCGAATGCTGCTTCCAAATATATTTCGACAGCTTAATTAACTGCAAACCTGCAGTATCAGCAGTACAAAACAGTATTATATAGTGTCTACTCTAAGGTTGTCGTTTTAACTTGGAAAAAAAACATTATATAAATCTTTACATCACGGAATTACGGATCATTTAATCGAGAAATCGTTATCGTAATTAATCGTGCCAATCTTAGGAATATATTCATGCTTATCTATTCTTATTAATTAGGTCAGGTCTATAGAAAGTAGATACTTCACATTATAATATTCAGTTTTCATCGCTCTTTAAATAATAACACACACACACACACACACACACACACACATATTCCCATTTCGTATTTTTCAAATCAGAATTACATGTCAAAACAAAATATAAAATTTCTAGCCAAGTCTCGCTCTTTATTTCTCGACCTTTGATACTTTTGCACACAGAACGACGAGGAGAGAATGTACGAAAACCGAAATATTACATAATATCGCCGGTAAGAGAAAACGGCTTTTTCCTAATAGTATCCGGATTCCAGAGCAGTAGCCGGGAGTTCGGTTACCCGGCTATAGAAATAGCCGTTTCATACTCTGGCAGCGTTAATCGCGACACGCCATTATTAGTATACCGCCGTTACATACCGGCGAGTGACAGGCGAGCATCGATCCTGCGGGACTGCGAGAGGCGCGAAAGGATACAACGTGAATGGAACGGCCACGAGCGCAACGGAGGATGCATCGCGCAGGTAGGCGTTGCGCGCACATTTTTTACCGCGCGGCGCGTGAGAGGATCGTTGCGTAAGGGAGCGTGCGAACGGAACGACCCTTACGTGCCAGGCTCGATATCTAGTGTTTGCTCACAGGTTGTTGCCGCGTGGGTGTGTTCCTCGGTTTCGATCGCCCGGAAGGCGCATGAATCGCAGGAACGCGAGCGAGTTCTTGCGGAGCGCGAGCGTCGATTGCGTGGCCGATTTCTTTAACACGTTGGGTGCGCGGCTATGTATAAAAATCCGACCTCCGTGGCGGCATATTTCCTTTTTACTTTAATCAACTTAAATATATTTAAAAACAATACGTATTTGGTGTTATTTTTATTTTATTTTATCTTCTAACTATAAAAAAATGGTAGGTCGATCCTAAGGTCGAGCTCGCCATAGAGTGGGAGAACGGCCAGGTAAAGGTTGAACCCAACGTGTTAAAGTAGAAAATCTTCTCGCTCATCCTGCAGCTCGGTTGATTCCACGTGACTTTTATCTTTCAGCGTTGAAATTACCACGGAAATAACAGATAAATCCGAGGCAGTGCACAGCGTCGTGACAGAGCGGAGCACACGTCCGTGCTCGTTCGCCGTGGTGATCTCTTGAATTCGTTGTCGTGTCGCGCCGCTGAAGATTAACGCGCAAACTTCTCGCTTTTAATAAAAAGATAATCGATACGTGCCACGGAGATGGCGATTCAGAGAGCCGGACTTTAATTATAATGCACCGTGACGATAAAAATAGCCTGCGAGTTGAGTTCTAGGAGGGAGGGACGTATATACCGTGTAAAAAGTTTACCCTACTTTCGCTTGCAAATTAACCTCGTTATAACATCGCCGCGATCCTCTCCGATCCGGTCCGCCGTGGAAGTAAAAGCGAAACAAGAGGCACGCGAATATTCATGTTTCGCGAATCCACCGCGCCACCGAAGGCGAAGGAACAACAATATCCTTTGTATTACGCGTTACAAAGCATCTCGTGATCTCGTTTAGACCGTCCGAGCGCAGCGATGTTAGGGCGATCGGTCTGCGGAGGGAAGTGGCCGTAATTACGAGACAAATCTACCCCTCGTCGGCCCTCGTTGCCGGGCCGTGTCTCGGAAGAGGGTGCGTTTCAATCAAACCCGGCGCGATACAAGCCCGTAGCCATCGTTACACGAAGTCGTGTAAGTCGTAATGTATAAAATCGATAGGGAGGGCCGGCGGGCCATTCCCTAAATCCGCTTGCGCATCTCTCGACGCGAGCGTCGAGAAATTCGCGCTTCGAAATTTCGAGGGTCAACGTGAGACTTCACTTGTTGCGACTCGTCGCAATTTACGACATTACACATCTCTCTCTCTCTCTCTCTAAATAATTTTCAAGAGTTGAAATTCCTTCCGAAAGTGCAATATTGAAAAACTGAACGAGTTCATTTCAGAACGGAAATAAAACGAGAGAGGGGAACGAGTTTACAAAATTGATTACTGTTTCATCGTCTGTCGTTATTTGGAGCCCTGTTGCGGCTTAGTTGCAATGAGAAGTCATTCGTTTCTCCCATTGTTTACTTCCAATTTCAAAACTGTCAATCGTCAACAGAGCACCGGTATATTTTGCTGCGATGTACATACTCGCTACTGCGCCGTACACACACACGTGCGCGCGCGCAGCGAGACGATTAAAGGTCGTGTGACACTTTTCCCCGGTGAGTTTCGCAACGCGTCCAACGTGTCCGATAGGAGAGAGAATCTTTTTTTTTTTTTTTTTCGGCGATTCTCAGACAGACGCATTATGTCCCCTTGAGCCGCGAAAACGCGTTGCGAAACTCGTCGAGAAAAACGTGTCGAGACTTTTGAGCGTCCGACCGTACAGGGAGAGTCGAATGAAGTTTCATTCCGGGCGCTCCACTTCTCTCGCCCCCTGGGCTACCCCTTCAGCAGCTCATTTCACACTCCTGCACTGAAGCGCCGTAAAGCTTGACGAGACCGCGAGAAAAAAAGAGAAGAAAAACAAAGACCGCGCGCGCGCACGTGCCGGTTGGTCTCCTCGCGTTAACCTTACCATTCCACCTGTAATAACCCTGAAGCCTCCATTTACCCTTACGCAGCCGGTGAAGCGAGACACGCTCCACGAGGTAGTTTCGACGCAACAGCCACCACCACCACCACCAGCAGCACCAGCACCGTCGGCATCATCCTCCACGAACACACGGCGCTCCGTACGACAACACAGACGCGCAACAGCACGCCGTACGTCGAAGAGGGATAGGGAAGCGTCCACAGGGTGGAAAAGCGAATCGCGGGAGTTCGGTATTGATCGCCTTTCCACATTGCATGGGGGTGGCTTCGCGCGCGCACGGCGACCCCCATAACCAACTGAGCGTCGCCATTACACCGCCATGGGCGGCCGTGCAGTGTCACAGAGACATTGAGAGAGAGGATCAGCCGGTCGGCGCACGTTGCTGCTCCTCGAATACCGCGGAGAAGTCCTGGATACGCGAGCCCGCGTCCTCCGCTCGCCGGAGGACCACGCAACACACGCGCGACTATACGCGCGAGGAAAGGAGGAGAGAGAGAGAGAAAGAGAGAAAGAAAGAGGGAGATAGAGAGATAGGGGGAGAGCGAGCGTGAGAAGGAGAGACGCTGAGCGGGAAGACGAAGAAGTCGCCCGGTAGAAAGGACGGAAAGAGCGGCGGGAGCTTGCAAGGGAGGGCGCAAGCTCGGGGCTTCTTGTTTACATCCGGCCGACGTCGCGACCAACAGCGAGCACGTTGCTCCGAGGCAACGAGCGTTCGACGCCACGTTGACCCGCTTTAACGGAGGCTCGTCTGCACTCCACGAAAGCGACCGACAGTGAAGATCTTCGTCGTACATATATATACATATATATATATATATATATATATATATATNTATATATATATATATATATATATATATCAATACAGACACACATATCGAAGGAAGCTTCGAACTTGGAAGCCATCCCGCTCTCAGGACGACTTCCGGAGGGTCAGGGGCAACACTTGTCTATGGTACGGGATTGCCTTCTCAGTTAATGGACAAGTGAGTATGCCTACGTGTTATGTGAGCTTTTCGACAGTGTCTTGCACATCGGTGTGCCGATTCTCCCGTGTCGTTGAGAATCGCGCGCGTCACGCGCGCAGCAATCGGCGATTTGTGTGTCACGTGTATGTGCCCGTGACATCACTTCCGGGGAGTCTCGCTGATTCCGCCGGTCTGTTGTGTGAAGCGCGCGGGAAGTAGGTAAGGCTTAATTACGGCTGGTAACCGTACTCTGATGCCGACGTACGTGAAGTATGTGAAGTATGTGCGCGACCACGGGAGCAGTAAGTGTAGTAAAGTTGGCTTTTTCCGGCGTATACCGCGGAACCGAGCTAAACCGGAATATCGATTGAATATTGCGGCGGCAAGTTGGTCGAGGGGAATTTTCAATTCGTCAAATCTGGCAAATCTTTGCCACGTCGAATTGGTTCCCGGTGAATGCATATCGCGGGTAATTTTCCCTCTCAAATTTCCAACACGACTTTACCAATTATTGTCGCGTTATCCGATGACTTTGTCTGAGCTATGGGAAGAGGTAATTTTTCAATCTTCAACGTCGAATTGATCTCTCGTCAAAGAATCGCGGATATTTGTTGTTTTCCAATTTATCGTCGCGACTTTACTGATTATCCTACGTCCGATGAATTTTTCATGAACCGCGGGAAACGCGGTTATTTCATCTTTGTCGTCGAATTGAGGCTTTTGGCTCAAAGAGGCCGCGGATAAATTTCCTTTTTTTATTTTCAACACGATTTTATTAGTTATCCTGCGTCCGATAACTTTGCACGAGCCATGAGAAAATGCAACTTTTAAATCTCTGTCGTCGAGTTGATTCTTACTGAAAGGGATCACGGGAATAGATTTATTTCAAACTTTCAACGCGACTTTACGAACTGCTCTGCGTCCGGTGACTTTGCACAAGCGGCATGGGAATTTTTACAGTTGCCGATCGGTGAAATTGTTTGTGCGTTTGTAGTCGTGTTCTGTACCCTCGCGAACGATCAATTGCCAATTACAGAATTGATGGCTTGGCTTTTGATCTGAATTGAGAACGCATCGCTACTTTCCGCTCTCCGGTTTCTCGGCCGATGACCTTCTGAGCAAACAATTTCATGCCAGTTGCATCGATTTTCAAGTTGGTTGCGTGTAGTAAACGCATAAAATATAGTATCTCGCGGAACAGCGTGCGTTTCGTAATGGGTCGATGAAAATTTCACGAGAATCATCATGAAAAAATGTTGCGACGCGACACAGAAACGAAATTTATATCACCTCGATCGCATCATACAATTGTAACATAACAGAAATTAACGTAAAAAAAATATATACATATAACTCTCTCGGTGGAGGATTTATTTTACGCAACTAATGTGCGCGCACATAGCTCCGCGAATTTTAATACCTGAATTTACGTTAATTACCCAATCCTTCGGTTATTAAACCATAAATTTGAAGGCGACGTACGTTTCGCAAGACGGTTCTTACGCCCGAGCGCT